ATTAGTAACAAGTGCCACGCTAGTAGTAACAAGTGCCTTACTAGTAGTAGCTGTTTTCGAATGCAAAAGAAGTAGATATGTAGCAAAGGACGCTACTAGGAGCAAAGGGCATCGCTACTAGGAGCAAGGGCCTTACTACTAGGAACAAGAAGCTAGTAGAAACTATATGGTATATATAATTGGAGTAAATGAATTAGGAAGTCCAGTTCGACGATATTTTGCCACATTGAAGTAGAGGAAGTTCTGCAACTGGGGTCACCTAAAGACTATTCATTTTATAGTCCCTGACTCCCAGGATGTATATATATATATATGTGATTGTTTCTAATGCGTCCACCCTAATAGCAATGGCCTCCAACCAAATAGCACTGGCCGTAGCGATGGCCTCCAAAATAGTCTTGGACTCCCATGGGATTCTGTGGGTTTCTTCCACTACAGTAGTGGAATCAGTCACAGTGTTCGGGCTTCTTTCCTCATCTCGCCATCAATGGACGAGTCTTGGCTCTCTTGGTGTTCCACGGCCGTTTGAGGGGTCCGATCTGTGTCGATCGCGTCGACCCGCCCGCGTCGTCGCAGACGAAGTGCCCGACGGAGCTGACGCTGTTGGCGCTGTTGGAACACGGCAGTGCCAAGGAAACCGTCGAAACCGTCGATTCGTGGCGATGCGTGGCGAGACGTTCAGGTGTGAGCAGACAGGACAGAGATGTCTGTCACACATGTCGGGCATGGGAATCACTGGGGATTTGTGAATCTTGTTTGTCGCACGGACAGCACACGGCATCAATCCACTCCAACAGCCTATTTTGGCCTATTCTTATCACTGCGGCATTGGATGCCGTTGAGCGTAGCGCTGCGCTCCTGATAGGGGACGTGCCGAGATCCAAGATGACGTCCAGGGAATGGCAGATGTGATATGACGCTCAGCCTAGTCTAGCCTAGTCTGGTAGTCTCTTGTCCATCTGGTACAGAGATCGCAGGTTGCCGAGATGCAACTGGTGATGGATGATGCATCATTTATGACTCATGGATATCTGAGGGTGCCTCATTCGGGAGTGACATCTAATTTCTGTAGACTTGTTGCCCTTACCAGTTGTTTTATACCGTACCACTGAAACCAACAGGACGGATTATTGGTTCGGCCCACTCAAGATTGATAGTTATGGGGCACAACATTTGTTTTCGGCGCCTCATGCTGTCTTTTTCGGAAATTCCACGTCCATGCGTTTTCCCTTTCCAAGCGGGGCGTTTACACGTGCGTGTAACACACGCGACCCTCACTTATGGAAGTGGCCATTTGAGGCTGAGGCTTGACACCTGTGGGCCAGGCTTCCTTAGCAGCGCAACAATCCAACATCAAACTGTGCAAAGTGCAGAAGACCAAGACCAGGTAGACACAGAACTTTTGCGAGAGAGAGAGAGAGAGATAGAGGGAAGGAGGACCATGCCTCCCATGTGACAGCGACAGGGTTGTATGTCAGTCAAAAAGGTCTAATATTCTCCTTTGCAGGTTTAAGAAGGCATCAACGACACACTACTATTTGCCGTGGTCCAATAATTTCTTTGGGCTTTTGCAGGACATGTCAATCATCAAAGGCTTGACCAGCGATGACATCAAGAAGGTGCCCTGAATGAAGGGGTGAGACGTGCCACCAACAGTTGGCCAAATTTGGTGTTCTCCATTTGAAGGAACCAATGATATGTTCAATTGTTGCAGCGGTCGTGTCGAACATGTTGTGTGTCCTACGTCCCAGAACGGAGACAGTAGAGACTACTGTCTCTGTTGAGTGCTTGAAAGAGTGCTTTGAGCTGCATCCAACGTGTCTCTTGAACCGAATCCGTCTTTTGGAGCGATCTTTGAGAGGAAGCGAGCTTCCACCTTGGTGGCGCCGGCGTGCCATGCTAGTCTGTTGTATTTCTTGTGAAGCGCTCTCTTTCTCTCTCTCTCTCTATCAGCTTGGATGGTGGCCATCGCTATTAGGCTTGCGCTCGCTTGCTCTCTTTCTTTTTGCCTGGTGAGTTTCATGCACACAGACACACTCGCCTGAAACGGGCGCCGCAGAGCGCCGCTCTCTGCGGATCTCAGTTTCGATTCATAAGCCAATTAAATTCTAATTATTGTTTCTATTAGCGAACATTGTTCTTAGTACGGCCAGGAGCCCCTAGTAGCGATGCCCTTGTTCCTAGTAGCGAAGGAGGAGACTCTTGTGGCCGAGGTCATGGCCTCTCGGAAGCGTGGCCGCGGCATGGCCGGAGATCTGCAGACGCTGCCGGCCGTGCTGCAGCCGCGTTCCTGGCACAGCGGCGGTTGGCCACGCCGGCCCTTCCGGTCCATTCTATTTCTTGTTTCTAATAGCTTCTTGTTCCTAGTCGTAAGGCCAGTAGCTACTAGTAGCGTCCTTGCTCCTAGTAGCGATGCCAGGAGCCCCTACTACCTTGTTACTAGTAGTAATGCCCTTGTTACTAATAGCGATGGCCTCCAGGGTAACAGGATCCTGGGTGTTTGTCCATGCCATCTCTTCCGGCAAGATGGCTTGATCGACACAGGACTAGTTGCAGAACAGATGACGCCGACAAAAGGGTGGATTTCATAAGCCATAGAGCCCATTTCCCACCTGAAAAGTGATCACCCCTCTTCAATGACCGAGGGGTCGCCACAAACAAGAGGCTCGTGCGGCGAACGAGGCGGAAGATCTCCATTCGCCAGCTCATTGCTGAGAACGGCGTAGCCTAGACGGCCACCGGAGAAGGGGTGGCAGCTGGTGGGTGGCATTGTTTGAGAAAGCCGGTGAAACTCGAGTACATGGGTACAGTAGACAGACTGTTTGAACTCGAGTTGAATTCCCTCGCGTGGCTCCGGAACTGTTCAATCACTTTCTGGATGACCCGTCTGAGAGCATGGATTGATCATGACATAGCATAGGTCCTCGACACTCCCTGAAATCATCATGGCAGTAGAGTTAACAAAATGTTAACAACCTGTTTGATTCGGAAGTAGCTTATTAATTAAGTTCTATTTTTTGTTTCTAATTGCTTCTTGTTACTACTAGTAAGGCACTTGTTACTAGTAGCGATGCACTTGTTCCTAGTAGCTTATTGAATAAATAACAAATGTTAACAACCTGTTTGATTCGGAAATCAGGGCCAGGCCATCCACGTAACCTGGTTACGTGGGTCCTTTCGACCGTCGAGGCTTAGGAGCCCGTCGGACGGAACCCCCACCCGAACGTCCCGTGTTGCAACGCACCGCCACACAGCTGCCGCGTTTGAAGCGAGGGTGGGATGGTTCAACATTTCCTTCTGTAGCAAGGGCATCGCTACTAGTAACAAGGGCAAAGCTACTAGTAACTATAGGTAATAGATCTGTGACAAAATGCGGAGTCCAGCTTGAGGTCCTCAACATTTCCTTTTTGCCAAAGCCAGAAGTCTTGACTCTCCCGCCAGCGGATGTCTTCGTCGGCGAAGCACCCCCCCCCCCCCCCCCCCCGGCGGAAGCCGTCGGCCAGGCTTTCAAAACGTGGAATGAATTTGTCAAAAGAACACACGCTTGAAAGAAAAACATCTGGTGACATCGAGCGTTCATCGAATGCTTCAATCTACCAAGGGTGTTCTGGTCGCCAATGCGTTTGTTAATTCTGCGTGCTGTCAGAGTGTCTTTTTTTGTCGGGTGTCCGCGTGCTATCTTTGGATGTGTTTGTGCAAAGGTGACCCCTGGACATGGTTTCCCAAACTGGTGAGATCCCCTTGGTTTTGATTGCGACAGTTTGCTTGGACTTGGACTTTTCTGGCACAGACTCACCAGAAACATCACGAATCCCCGAAACAGGTTTGGGGTAAGAATTACATACTTCTCTATATCGCTATATACTAGGAGCAAGGACGCTATTAGGGGCTCCGTTTGGCCTGGCAGGCAGGAGGGCTCAAACAGCGCTGAGAAGAATCTCAGACAGCGGTGGGATCCAGCGGTTGCTCAGACAGCCGATTTTGCATGATATTTCGAGCAGGGACCTCCGACAGACGTGGGCCCAGCTTTGAATCGTCGTATGTCAAGGGAGAAACGACCGAGAAAAAGATGTGGAATGAACTATTTGCACTTTTGGCAAGATGTCTTTCGTTCAACCGATGACGCTGTGGTTCATTTGGGGTTCTGATGGGAAAGCACCTCGAGTTTGTCTACCAACATTCTTTCCCGAAAGGTTCGCCAAGCCGGAGATGTCGCGGGTTCTTGTCCTCACCTGATGGTTCCAAAGCATACGACGTGAGAAAGCGATGTGGGGAAGGAACTGATTCGAAAAAAACCATGGTGAACAATTCGAAAGAAACACATTTGTGTCGATTGTGGCTGGTTTAAAAGCACTTGTGAATGAGAGGGCAAGCTGTCAAAGGGTTCCATTTTCCTGACACATTTTGCATTGCCTGGTCCAAGTCTTCAACATAGCAGAACTTTGTTCGATTTCGTCAGGGCAGCCAGCTTTCGCCTCTCTTGCACAGAGTTGGCGATTAGGCTTTGAAGTTGGGTGAAGGTTTTGACGTTGGAGACCCAATAAACGGAGCTACTAGGGTCTCCTGGCATCGCAGGGGCTCCTGGCCTTACTGCTAGGAGCAAGAAGCTATTGGAAACAAGAATTCAATAGAAGAATTCATCGACCCCGCCTTCGCCGCCGTTTGGGCCCGCAGCATTTAGCGCAAACCCGCGGTGTCGAAACGACAGACACATTTCCGTACCATGAGACCCTCGGCCGATGATGTTCTGCGTTCGCGTAGGGAATGAGATCGAACGTAGCTAGTAGCTTCTTGTTACTAGTAGTAAGGCCAGGAGCCCCTAGTAGCATCCTTGCTCCTAGTTGAGTTGCGGCGCCTCCGTCTGGATTTTTCTTTTGGAGGCCATCGCTCTTAGGTAACCTAATAGCGACGGCCTCCAACCTAATAGCCACGATGTTTAGGAAGCATGGATGTTTAGCAACTATACCGTACCCCAGCCCACCATGTTTAAGCCAGCAATAAATAGCAGCGATCAGAATCAGCATGTCTTGGGGTCCTAAGAAGCTGCCTGAGCTTCGACTGTTCGCTGCTCCTTATGCTACTTCATAAGGTCTCGAGTAAATGAAGGATCAGCCAATGGCCAAAGAAATATGTATAGGTTGTGTGAAACCAGGAGCAAACAAACATCCGTTCACACCTTTCTTCGGTTAAACACCCTTGAAAGGACTTGGCCTGCCTGCTCTGGCGTTCTCCCAAGGACAAGTCCTGTGGAGCTTGCTGCCAGTAGCACTAGGAGGAGGTTGCCCTTGGACTCTTGGAGAGGCTCTTGAAGAGCTCGGGCCGGAAGGGCATACTTTTGCCAAACCCATCCGGAAGCCACGGAAAAAGGCTGGATGAAGATTGTTGGGGAGGGTGCTAGAGCAGATTGTTCCCGAAGCACTTTCCCATGTCCTTTTGCCATATGATCCATGAGTGCCCATATGTGTTTGTCTCTGCACCAGCGCTTAGATGGCCCACCTCGCTTGCGCCTCGCGACTGTGTAGCGCCTTGTGCGACAGTTCACGCGGGTGTAAACGTCAAGTGCCAAGCTGTAGAGGTGTGAGTCGGTCGGTTCGATCCTCTCATTTCGCTCGAGCCCGCGTGCCAGGTGCTTTGCGGTTTGCCTTCGATTCGATTTTTTCAGTTTTCTCAGGACCTCTTCATGGCAGTGGGAGGGTGTCTTCCACATCCACAAGGGGGGCACTTACTTGTGGAGCGCCTCTTGGCGAGCGGAGCGAAGCAGTCGATTGGGTGGGAACAAATCGGACCGAGAGATTCCGGGCCCAGAAAATAGATGTATTTGTTTGGAATCCCGAAGAAACGCATAGAAACTCATTGGTTCACTAGGGATTTGACACGACAAACCTATAGGTCAACCATTTGAAAGGTCAACTTCCGGAGGGAAAAGGTGGCAAATCTTTTTTTCCCATGCGATTTGGACCGACATCGACGGAAACATCGAAGCGCCCCAAGCGCTCCAATCGAAGCCATCATGTGTATCAGATGTGTATCGGATCGAAGTTCGCTCGTTTTGAATGATTTTTCACCTCTTGTTACCAGTAGCTAACATTGTTCCTAGTAGTTCGGGTAGGAGCCCCTAGTAGCGTTCTTGCTCCTAGTAGCGATGCCAGGAGCC